CATCTACCTCATCCCGATCACAAGGAGAGGTTCACCATGATGGGGGTACTTCTTTTTTTTTCCCTTCCGGAAAGAATGAAATACATAGGGGACCATTCTTTTGTTGCGGCATGCTCCTCAGATTTACGGATTCGCAGGGGGCCTCAGGCCCCACTTAGTTGACTGACAATGACAAAGGCTTGCGAAACTAAGTAGGGCCTTTTGAATTGAATCTTAAGTAGTCTATCAGTGGTGCGAAGCGGCTTTGCCCCTTTTCAGTAGGGGGGCGAAAGGTTAGACCTTAGAAAGTCAGCGAACAGCGGTTCTTCTATGTAGGTATGGCGTTCCCCCCTCTCCTTTCAGTCGAGCTACTTCGTTACCCTCTCCTCTCCTAACGTCGTCGAGCTAAGTGACTTCGTAACCTTTTCGTAGCGTAGTAGAATGAAGGCTACGCACCGACGCTCTCTTATCTATTAAGCGTCTTCGCTAACTCGCTCGCCTACTATACCCTACTATACAATACATTAGTAGGGTAGGCTAGGCTAACTCAGCCGCTTACTTCTAAAAATTTAGGGCTAAGTAGCGCCTTTTCCTTTTTGAATAACCCAGTCTCATTATCTTTCATAAGTCAAGTAGGCGAACCTATAGGTCCTTAGTAGGCGTTGACAAAGAAGAACAGCCGGTTTAAAAGACAGCGAATCTTTTATTTATATTTTATATTAATTATTTAATAAAAAGATATATATAGGCCAGCTTGACAAGCTACCCTTCCTCTTGATCTGAGGTGCGAAGAGAAGCATCTCTTTTTTATGACTTCCACTTATCGATCCCGGCCCGGAAAAGTAACCGACCAGGGCCCTATTGATGAATGAAAGAAAGGGTTTATGAGCCCTAGCCCTGTAAGCCCACACCTGTGTAGAGTGGATCGTTCAACACCTGCGGCACAAACCCATTTTTGACCTATTGGTCCTAGTATCATAGGCGACCGAACGGCCGCCCCCTAATTACTAGACCAACCTGCTATAATAATTCCATAAACACCTAGCGAAGATATGGCAAACAAATAAAGTAGCCCTATGTTCGAATCTGACAATACCATACCATAATCAAAAGGTACAACGGCCCGAGCAACCAGACTTAACATAAATGTAGTCACTGGAGCCATTCTAAAAAGGGAGAAATTAGCACTACTTGGTGAAATAGGTTCTTTTAGAATCAATTTCAAACCATCTGCTAGAGGTTGTAACAATCCGAACGATCCCACTACATCAGGACCCTTTCGACGTTGCACAAAAGCCATTACTTTACGTTCAGCTAGCACTAAAAGGCTACTCCTAGTAGAAGTGGTAGAATTATTCCAAGTATTTCGGCTGGAACAGCTATGTACGTTTTCGATTTTCTATTCACTCATGATCTGGCCTGGTCGACTCGATCATGATATTTCACTCATGATCTGGCCTGGTCGACCCAATCATGATATTGAAGGATGGGACCTTTTCTCGAAAAACTCCGGATCCAGAGAAGAGTTGAAGATGGTGCAACATCGTTCCCCTCTACGTTCTGTTAAAATGAAAAAACTTGCTAGAGCGAAAGCACTAACGCCAGAGCTTGGGCAAAGTGGGGACTCTGCGTGCCCTGATTGACCAGATCTAAATAGATCTGGTTCAGACATTGAAAGCTCTCGTCGCGAAAAAAAAGATGTTCGGATAACTCTTGGAGATTTACTTCTGCGGGTAGGTTCACGTTCCCATCCGGAGTAGTATCTCTATAGACTCTAAAAATTATTGAGAGTTGTTCCACTATTTTTTCTTTAATAACATTCATGGTTACATCAGTAACCTTTGTTTCTATATTCATACTATCCATTAGATGGAGCATTTGGCCAGCTCTAACGGCTACAAGAATAGCTACAGGCAAAGCCAAACCCATCCTAGATATAAAATCCGTAATCAGGTGATCCATATCCGCTATTATATCGTAGTGTTCTTAAAGAAGACCGCGCCAATTCGTATCCCGAAGATACAAGCAAAGCGCCCGGTCCTCTTCTCATGCATCGAAGCTTTTTCTTTCAAGTCCGCGTGGTCAGGTTTTGCCTGACATAAGGAGTGGGAAATAAGGGAAAAAGCAGAAACTGAACTAACGGAGATTTTATACTCCGTGCTGCATCATGAAATCGTAGAACTTCTTTCTATACGCAACTGGCATACCGTCGAATCTACTCTACTTTACGATACCATCTTTCTTCTCTTATGAAATTACACTTCTCCGCCGACAGAGTGCTTCGTTGATTCAAAAGCTATGTCTTTCCCAGTCTTCGTGCTCTTTGGTGATTCTTTGACTCATCTCTTCCCGTAAGAAAGACACGAAAAAAGGGGTTTTGGTTAAAGAAAGGCCCCTTTTCGTCGGGTTATAAGCCTATGCTGATCAGCAGAGCAGGATGCCACACCTGCTACAAGGCTTACAAGAAAAAAAAGAAATAATGAAGGTAAGCCCGCCGCTGATTCCGCTTTACCTTCATTTCTTCCTTTTTTTTGCAAGTATTGGAATGAAAGCGAGAGCAGCGTATGTCCACGGTGATCAAGGCGGGGCTACTCCTTAAGAAAAAGAGGTTCTCGAAACCTTCGAACTGAAGCTGCTGAAGCCCCTCTGCTTGATCTGATCTTTCTCGAGGAATAGGATATTTAAACCAGACGGGGCAGAGCTCGTACTAATAATAGCTAGAAACCCGAGGGGCATTCTGGAATCTTGGCAGAGTCACCCCGATAAGACAACCTGGAGGGAATTCCTGCCATACAGGAAAGGAAAGACCTGGGACCAGTACTCCCCAACTTGGGAACTCAGCTTATAGCGAAGGGGGGGAGCAGCTTTTTATGCGACACTGCTATGGCGAAGAGTGAACCGATACTCTTTATATTGAGATTTCCCTCGGGTTTCTGCTTAATTACTGGCGTCCGCCTTTATCATCCCTTTCTGTCTTTCCGGGATTGCCTATCGATGACCAACAAACGGAATCCAGAGGAGATTACAAGGCCATCCCATTCAAAAGGAATGGAGGGCAGGCAAAGAAAACTACCTTGACGAGCTACCAGTAAAAGGAATGAATCACGCTTGGGTACCTTCCACAAATGGAGGATGAGCAGAAGGAGCTGCAAGCCCTTTTTCTTTATTATTTCGAGCGATGACCTCAATTGATCAATACCGCAAAAGAAAAGGACCAAAGTCCCCTATTTAGTGGCAGCCGGGCGGAACTCGTCGGGACTAAGGGCACGGACTTCGAGCAATCCTTTGTTAGAAAGGGAGAACGGAGGTTTCATTATCGAGAAGCTAATCCGGCTTGTAGTTTGAGGGAGATACCCGGCTGGTGGGGGTCTCTTACCCATAGACTTGACTCTAACAAAGGCAGAAAGGAGGACTTCTTTGATAATAGCAATTTATGATACCCTTCTTAGGGAAATGAAAGAGAAAATAAGACCGTCCCATCTTGCGAGATCTCTCTCTGATCCGCGTCCTATTCTCCGCAATTCATCCTTTTAGAACTCTTTAGAAAGAAGGAAGTGAGATGCTTGAAAGTCAATCTTAGGATACACGGAACTGGCAATTGAATCGATCTACTGAGACCTGCTCATCGTCAGATTTCCTTAATCAATGACACCTTCCTTTTCAATGAGTCCTAGCTTCCCCCTGGTCGACGAATCTTGAACCTTGAACTAGGATTGACTACAATCTGAATTCGCTACTCTCACTCAAGCTAGCCCCCTACAGGAGGAGCCTGATCGTAGACCACCCTCCTATCTAGAGGTAGGAGCGTAACTTCTTCGTTTTATACCTAATAAGAGCGTAGGTTTTTATTCCTGCCTTTCTGATGTTCCTTACGAGTGGTAGTTCTTCGACTCTCCTGTGTTAAGCACGTGTAGTAAGTCTTCCCATTTTTTTGTTATCCCTATTTCTTGCAGGTAAGAATGTATTAGGCTAGATAAGAACTAATTAGCTGTTAGCTCTCTTTTCCTGAAGTTTATATCAAGCTAGGATAGAACAGACTGTATTATATCTCTCAAGTCTTCCCCTGTTCCTGTATCTATTGGCATGGCCTTTAATGAATGGCATTAAGCAAATGGAGAGCTCCCATGTGAGTATCCTCGGTCTCACTCTTGTCCGAGTTATCTTGGCTTGACTCACGTTGAGCAGCCAACAATGCGTTTAAGGCGGCCTTCTGAGGACATTGGTAGGTCTTGTGAGATCCACCGCAGAGAATGCATTTTAGGGTTTATGATGATGGTTTGAAGAGGCACCGGTGCTTCGTGAGTGGGAGGAGTCTTTCCGTGAGCTAGGGCTTGAGCTTGCTCCCCCTTCATTCAGCCGGAGCTGGTGAATTCAATGATAGATTCTTTAGCCAAAAGGCGGGTGGCATTTTCCGGAGTAAGCTAAGGTATCTTATTACGTTTATAATGTTCCATCCCCGCTGAAGCAAAGCAAACACGCCCACTTGAACGCTTTGTTAATGAACTTAGTCTAATAGAAAAAACGAAAGAGATTTCTTTCTTCGTTTCCCCCGCAGCTATTCCTCCTTTAGACTCATACAAGCAAGTACAAGATGGTATTGGGAATAGAGGAAGCCAGTAGATGATAGTTAGGTAGTTGCAGAAAGCAATCGGAACTAGGAGGGAACGGGAGGGGCCGACAAGCAAAAGCAATGGCAATCAGCCGCCTAATTACTTTGCGACCACTTAGCGCAATAGTTCATATGTTGATTCATGAGCTAACTAAGGAGGCTGCCTTTATGTTAATATGTATGCCAATAGCATGAAATATAGAACATTGAGCAGCAGTCACTCATTATGTACGCAGTTATTAAACAAAGACTATTAAGACGAGTCGTGTGCGCAAGACTTGGGTGGTCTGATCGGGCAGCATTCTGTTCCACCAGAGAACGACGAGGTCAGGTCGCCTGGAAAGAGCTGCTTTGTCTCGGTTTTCCATGGATGGACAAAAAGGTGAGGTGAAACGAAAAGTAGGAAATAAAGGAAGGGCAGCTTACGCTTGTCTTCGACCGATGAGGGCAAAAACAAGGTTTTTGATTCCCTTACTTGTGATCCTATCGGAGCTGTTCTGAACGATACCCTTTCTCCTCACTTACCCTATCTAGTCGAGCGTCTACGAAACTCTCCTTTCAGCCTATGTGGTTTTTCTCCAAGACGCTGGAAGCCTTTTTCCTTTTGACGCCCGTGGGAATAACCAATTGATGTGGAGACCTCTAACTACGGTCGAGTACTGCTTCTGTTCCTCTGCCGTTATACTTGGCATCTACAGCTCCTACTCCTTCTACTGCCGCTTCTTACTCTCGCTCCGACTGCTGACAGAACCATCTCTTTAGTCGACAATGCCCTTCCTGAACATCCGGATTGGGATGAATCATTTACTCCTATGGTCTTAATAAGAGGAGGTAGAGTGAAAGATTCGCCAGGTGTGAAATCCCATCGTATTCGAGGAGTCAAGGATTTGCTGGGAATTCCGAAACGAAGTAAGAAGGCTGTCAATCAAATATGGTACGCGGTGCTTGTCAAATAAAAAACTATCCCTTAAAAGTGAGTTCGAAAGGTAAGAGTCTTGTACCTACCTAGTAGAACTCACTTTTAAGAACTAATAATAAGAATTTTCTCAGAAGCGAGAGCGCACCTCGAGAAACAAGTCTCAGGAAGTGAGTTAGTTATAGTATTACAGGAGCTAATAGCTTCAGAGAAATAAGCACAGGAAATACTGGTGGGAATCTCACCTCCAAGCCTTTCATGGGCCCGCGTTGAAATACCCAACAAAAATCCAAAGATCATTGATAGCAGAATGAAGAAACTGAAGATCCCGCTATAAAGATCTCCTCATAATGTAATTAAATTATTAGAAGCATACAAAAAATGAAAGCGCAGCTAACATTATCCAGGAACAAGGAACAGGTGATGGATTGAGCAGTAATAAAGGTAATGGTTGGAAGCTGATGGATGGCCGAGTAAAGAACCCAGATATTAGAAGGGAGACCGTTACAGTGGTTCAAGGTAGCTAAATTCATGTTTCACGAGGACCAGAAAGAAGAAGGGATATTGGAAAAAGAAGTCATGGATTCAGCAATACAAAGAGGTTCAGCTGTTTCCAAATACGGCTGATCTGGTGATAAAGGCCAAGGGCGTGCTCTTCTATTGAAGGAAGAACAGAAACGAAACAGCTCTCTTTGCGTACTATGGATCTCTTACGTGCGACATTCCTTGCTTTGACGAGCAGCATCCAGTACATTCACCCCGGCTGGGCAGTAGCGCCAAGAAGAACTTCAAGCTAAGAGCGAAGAGAAGGTAATGATTTCGCTCAGTAGAAGGTCACCTACATGGATATTGAGGCTATAAGCCGCAGGTAAGATATAGTTCACAAGTCGAAGGGGAATCTTAGCCCGCCTCACTTGCTTTCTGTACTGCATAAGGGCCATAAGGGCATAAGCGAAGTCAAGGGATTTCCTTCTAACTAGTGGCTGAGAGTAAGCAAGCTACCTTCATTCAACAGATTTGTGGTTGAGTCAATAACATGCTCTGGGTCGGGAATCTTTGCTCTTCTCTTTTGCATTTCCGCTGCCTGCGTTCTTCTTCGTGTCCGTCCGTATCGCAAAGCTGGTCGACGCCAGCTGTAATGGTTGAAAATAGGGGGCCAACCAAGACCCCTACCCTAATCAAGCTTTGTTCGATAAAGCAAACGAGTCGTTCCGACGACCAGATTAACTCTTTTGAATTAGCCGATCTTACAAAATCGATCGGGCGGGGGCGGAGAAAAGAATCGCTGAGAGATAGATTCTACTATTTAGTCAGGACGAATGAGTGGCTGTGCAGCATGCTCCGGAGGAGATTGACCCTTCCCCGAGTCAGTCCAGTCGGAAAGGGAAGGGCCCGCTGTCTAGACTGCATTTCGGGAGTTTGAACACCATCCCATTTCAACCAAAAATACAACCCTGTCAAAGGTATCCAACCTTCCTTCCTTATGAGTGGAAATCCAATCCCGTTTTGTCCTTTTTGCATAAAAATCAAGCTAATATATATATTTTTTTTAAACCCGTTCTTCCGACCTGAAAAGCGCACAGTTTATCCTCCAAAAATGACCTTCTCCAGTCGGGGAACGCATGAGATATTTACCTAAACCAAGTAGGTCCTTGAGCGGATCCCACGTTAGCCCCAAGACGTTGGTCTCTAACTAGAAAAGTAAATGCTTGAGCTTGAGTGAGAAGGGCCTCCTCCCCCCGCAGGTATTTTGCCTGTATGGTGTTTACCGCCCCCGATCCAGAAGGTATGCCACTATCGGCTTCTATACATGTCTGCCTCCCTTGAAAGCTCTTGGTGCTGCGACTATCACCGGTAAGTTGCGTCGGATCAACATCGGGATTAGAATCAACTGCAAAAGAAACTAAGTCAACGCCTATTTGCTCTGGATCTACTGGCCCGGACGCTTGAATCTATTCCACCGCAAACAACCGAATATACTACTGCGGGATCTTCCGCAGCTTCTGTTGTTATTGCTCCCACCTGTCACTACGCCACCTCAGCAGCTGGGACTGGAACTGCTTCCGCATCTGGTACTCCCCAACCTTGTCTATCTATCCTTAGAAATAGGGCGAGTGTCTAAAGACCGGGTTATCTCTCTGAATCAGGTTATTCACTGGGCTGCTAAGCCATCGAGTCTTCTAGGGTTGATCGACCCGTTTCAAGAGGATTCATCCAAGACTCTAGATCTCGTTAATTCTAAGGTAGTTTACTTGCTTACTTGTTAGGGTAAGGAAGATGAGAGGAGGGCAGGCTTTAAGGCATATATAGTTAGTTGACTGGTTATTTGTCTTTCCCATCCCTGCAGCTACTGCAGGTGCCCGGAATTCATGGATTCTCTGGTAGAGGGGAGTCGAGGTGGCATTATTCTATTGTGGGCTGGCTTAAAAGAAGCTCCCAATTGTTGTAGGAGTAGCTACTTGTTTCATGGCTTTAATTTGAGCTCTTCAGATCCTGAATCTCCATAAATGGGTATGACTGATTAAGGTGACCAGCTTTGTGCGGCAACCACAAGTTAAGGTACTCTGGATTTGTTATAGCGCCACCATTTCACAATATACATTGTCCGGGAAAGCGAGTTTTGGGGATTTTAGTTTTGTCCTACTGACGCTCTTCTATGAAAGTGGAGGCTTTACTTTAACTGGTCTGTTAAAGTCTCCTTGCTACGGCCTTTTTTATATCCCTAGCTCGGAGGGTTACTCGAACCTTTCGTTTTTGTACTCTGCTCGTTCCTTAGCACAAGCGCTAAGCGATAATAATTCCTTGAAGGTCCAATTAATTAATAGTAATTGGAGGACGGTTAGTGTCTGTTCTGCATGACTCTGGAACGTTATAGCTAAGGAGCGGATTTCAGGGTCCCTTGACTTGCCAAATGGTTTCCGGTATGCCTATACAGTAAGTCTTTACACACATGATAGTGGCAGCCAGGTTATCGACGATTCTACAATAGGCGGCCGCTGGAAAACCCGACTTAGCGAATCACTTCCAGGCTGGCATTAAATCTTTCTCGTGCCAGTGGCTCTTGTGCGCCCCATTTATGCTGGTGGCATACCGTACCGTATTGTGCTGAACACTCACAAAAGCCGTGGCCTTCCGCTATGTTAGACCCTCCCCTAGAAGTACAATGGTTGGCCCCTCCGGAACTGGTAATCTCCGTTTGACTTGAAAGGAGCCTTGTTCAGCAGGTGCGCAGCAAGTATTCTTTCACAAGTTTGGCGCAAGTCGTACCTCCTTAGCTGCTTGTACTAAAAAACTAGGGCGCTATACGGAAGTTCGTGCCTGCTTATCCCGGCCACCTCTTTAGCTCATCTCTTGTCAACGCTAGCACTTAGCCACAGGAAAGCGTCTCAAAGCACGTGTGGCGCGCTATAAATAGACTCACAACGAAGGAATTGCTTGCCAGGGAGAGGGGGTTTACTTGCTCGACCAACGGGAGAGGGGCCGAAGGCTAGGTCTTTTGATTCTTTCTAGGTGTCACCTTAGCTTTAGCCTGAGGGGTAGGGGCTGCAACCTTTGGAACAGCATTAGTCCCATCATCTCTCGCCATTGCCTTATGGTAAATGTCTTTTTTAAGAGCTTTTACACTCTAGCTTGCACTTGACATTGACTTTACCTCAGCCTTAACTGAATTCTTTACTGGGATCTTTTCGCCTTGCCCCTTTTTATTTTCCTCATGAGGAAAGGTCTCCACATTGGTCTCATTACCAACGCCTTCCGCTATCTTCCTTTTGGAAAGGCTTTAAACCTTGTTTCCTTAGAAGGGTGCTTTTCTGTATTAGACCTGGGGGACCTCTTACTCTACTTACAATATTCCAAGGCCCAAGAAAGGACTTTCCCATTACAACCGAAAACCCGGAAGATTCAGAACATGATTAGGAACAAGTGCCCCTCTCCCGTTGTTCAACAACCACAACCCTTCCAGCCGGAACCCGCGGGGTTCGACCTAAATCTGCCTCAAGGGGGGGCGGAGCCCGCCGTCGGGATAGAGCGAGACTTTTTTGATCTAAACCTACCTGCTCAACCGGAGCCGGGGGAGATTGAGGATATCGGGAGTAGGTTCTCGAAAAAGGAGCTGATTAGCATGGGCCTGCCTGCGAACCTACAGAATTTATCATTAGAACAGCAGCAAGACCTCTGGTTGCGGGCTTGGGAGCATTTCCGGCTCAAGGTCCCAAATAATAGAACTCTTTAAGGCTCGGTTTCCAAAGGAAAATTGGATACAATCCGAGTCCGTTAGGAAAACTATTTTCATTTCTCATTTCCGAGATAATGAGTTCTACCTAGAAGAACTTCAGGCAATGAGAAACAACTTAGTCTTTTGCGATAAGCCCTGGAGAATTTCCCCGTTGAAAAAGGTGCGGGAAAGATTCCTAAACGAGTGGAAACTTAACCACCCCGAGTAATCCATAGGATTTTCTTTTTTCACCGCGCCCTTTATATATGGGTCCGTGCAGCATTTCCACGATATCGTTATGATCTATTAATGGGACTTGGCCGGAAAGTGTTCTTGCCTCTATCATTAGCTCGGGTAGTCCCCGTTTCTGGTGTTTTAGTCACCTTTCAATGGCTCCCTTAATTATGTGCGAGGAATTTTCCTAGAGATGAAACCCTCAATCAGAATACAAATAAGATCAGAAAGGGCGATCAGAACAGGATCCGCCTTTTTATTCTATGAACATTGAATGACCTTTCTGACTTAGAAGAAGGCGACAACTCCCGCTCTAAAGCAAGCGCAAGCAGATTACCAAACCTAAGCTGGTTTGGGGCACCCTACCTACTACAAGGCATTTAAAAGCCCCTACCCGTCTACTCAGAGAACCTGGGCCCGAGCCTAGTAACGAGGATTATAGACTGAACTAGTAGTCTGATAGGAAGCTGTTCACACTCAATCTCTCGCTCAGTCTAGTCGAATGAATGAGAACGGAACTCCCTCCCCTATGGTCGAGCAAGTTTCACTCCCTCTCATGATCTTGAAGTTTAGAGTAGACAGAAAGTCTTTCTGTGCCCAGCTCAGCAGAGCTTTTGTGGGGAGGAGCCCCTTTCTTTCAGAACCTCGCTACTTCAATCACACTTGAGTTCGTTCCGTAAAGCAGACAGTCGAGAAGATAGCCACTGAACATTTACCCTGAATTAAAAACAGTAACTTGAGAATCTTGTTAACTGCTTCTAGCTCAACTCATAGGGGAAACAACCGTAACTATACTTACGATTTTTAGATCAACCTTGTAACATTAAGAGAAAACAGAAAGCTGCTTTAACTTTAACAACAAGCACTAGCAGCAGATCAATCAATCTTTCGTTCCTTCCCTCTGTGTGTGAGCTTGACCGGTGCTCTTCACCATGTGTCTTGAAGTCAGGGTTACCTGCTTCTGTGGTTTCACCCTTTTGGGTGTAATAGCTTCAAAGTTAGATAGTTTACGAAGTCCCTTCATCAGACAGGCCCGCTTCCTAAGCCTTTTGTAGCGCGTGTCCCAAGGTACGCTCGGTTCCGGTAGAGCCTGGAGCGACCTGAAGATACGGGTCACCTTTCCCAAGGGAATTTTGAGCGAATCGAGCTGGTCGCCCTAAGCCGAAGCTTCTTATTTATTGATCTTGCCGGGAGGGGTGCTTGCGCTTGCCTTGCTTGAGCAGCCTTTCGCCTTTGGCTTCCTCTTTCTAGCTCTAGTTATCTAGTTTGCCTGGCCTTCTGCTTGAAGACAAGACGACTAGTAGCTCCACTCCAGTTGGTTAGTAACGCTTCTGTCTTGCCTTGGGCTCCGTGCTTGTCGGTTCTGCTTGCCTTCCTGACCTGCCTGAAGACTACAAGCAAAAAGCAGTGAATAATCTCCCATAGCACTCCCTTGAATGAGACCATCAGGAGCAACCAAGCGACTACATATCTAACTCTGACTCTTGTCTCTCTTGCGGTCAGTCGCTCACTATGGCTGTTGCTCCTCCGCTTCCTTTGAAGGTTTCGATTGACATAGATGTAATTAAAAGGGGCGACGCGGTCTACTGTAAAGGAACAAGCACGATTGTAAGTTGATTTATCCAGCGCTAGGACTAGGAAAGGAGCCGAACGTAATAAAGGGGTGGTATTTTATTAGTATTTGTTGTTTCCTTATCTTGTTTGTACGGGATTCCTTAAGCAACAGGTAAACTTAAACATCCATGAAGGAATGCTGAAAGAGAGTGAGACTCCCTCTACAGGAGTCGAACGATACTTCATAAAGGGCACAATACGACTCAAGTAAGACTTTTAGAGTTAGATCCCCCCGAGGGGGGAAACGGTCCTTTCCTTGCTTTCTTTCTTTCTTTCTTCTTCTCTAAGACACTGTAGATCTAACTCAGCAATAACAGCTACGGTGCTTCTTGATCCCCTAAGGCACTCCACGCTTTAAAACGAAAAGGGACTAACCTAACTCGAATGACCCTTGCCTAGCGGGAGTTATCGACCAAATGAGTTAGCGGACAGCTTCGGCGGAAGCAGTCAACGGGCACTCAAAATGTCCTTTAGTAGCTTAACCGGGCCGTAATGATAATTAAAAAAGCTTTACGCCGCCTCCATGGTTGTTCAAGTGACATTACAAAGAGACACGGCCTCCTTCCGCCATCCTCCTTCTTTACGCAGCCCGCCGAGCGGACAGAGGTAGGGGCTTTGAAGGAACTATCTTAGTAGCAGAACTATTAATAGGAATAACTGCTCACGCGGCAGATCGAAGTAGAAGCGGCAAAGGACATCCTCATTTAAATCTATGACGCACCTGAACTACGGCTGATAAAGAAAAGCTTCCCGACCTACCACTGACCGAGGGAGCGAACCTTGCAACTCAACCGACCCAACGGACTGAACTCGACGACGAAAGACATCATGCCACATTAGATATCGACATAAACCTTAAACCCCAAAGTGATTGAACAGTCGATCGGAAAGGGGTACCCCCCCTCCTTTACCGAACCTATGGAAATCACTGAAAAGGTTGAGGAACCATTAAAATGGAGATTTCTGGGAGGAAAGGCACTGAGCTCTTGTGTTTTCCTGTCGATGAATCCGAGATAAGAATCTAGTTAGTTTCGAGGTGTGATTCGCAGCGGAGCAGCTCCGAGGAACAAAGTTCCGATTAATCCGATTATTCCATTCTGTTGTTCTGGAGTGACTTGTTTCATATGACATTAGACATTCCCCTCAATCCAACCTCGATGAAATCTTCTTATCCGCTCCAGTGTAAAAAGTCATTCTTTTGTCATCTTCACTAATAAGAATCTGTCGGAAGGTGTCGTTGAGTTGATCCAACCTTGCTTACTAAGACGTCCTCAAAAACACTATGATAAAGGTGCAAAACCCGGTAGGATTCGCATAAAGTCTCATGTTTCTGAGGCCCGCGGAGATGTAGATAAAGACTCTGGGTTCCGTTTCGAGATGTTCTAACACATGTTCTTTTGGCCGAACCATCTTAGCTTCCGATGGGACGGCCTTTACCTTCCTGGCTTTCTGCTCCAAATAAATGCCTCTTTTTGATGTTCAAGCAAGTGGACTCTTCCCTGGGTTCCCCACCACGGTCTGCCAAATGAATAACAAGTAGCTCGCAAGAAAGAAGAAACGGCAAAGATCCCAACGTTGACTAGATAAGAATAGTCGAGATCTCCTTCTTCTGTTCTGGTGAAAGAGGCTAAAACTATATCTTTTACCGGAGGAACAGCCATCCCCTCCATTCTTGGTTGGCATGGGCGGTCAGGTTGACTCAGAAACGTATGGATTCTTGGCTTCTCGGGGAAACCCTCAAAAGTTCTGCTTAGAGAAAGTAATTTTTGGGTGCCTCAAGGTCATATTATATCTCGAGGTGTCGTTAAACATAACATGCCGTTGGCATTGATATGAAACTTGAACCTTAGCTAACCCTGTTGCATCGGGATCAGTCTACTTTACTTGAGATGCCAGAAGAAAGGGTCGTTTTCCCGTGTTTTTAGCCGCCCTTCCTAGACGACAACAGTAGGAGACTAAGTAGAGGAAACACCATAAAATGGGCATGAATTGGCACATGAAGTTAGTGATTCAACTTCACTCCCAAGTGTCAGTGAGAAAGAGTAATTCCGTAGAAAGGTAAAGTTTGAGGGCTCTATCAGATTAGTAGGTGTATCAGGCCAGCACTATTGGTGTCACCCGTCGAAGTCTAGTTCTTGCTCCCGATAAAGTCATATGATCCCGTAGTTGACGCGTTCAAGTCTGTCCTCTTGATGTTGTGATCGGAACAAGCAGCGGCCAAGACCAGTAAAGCCAGTAAAGTAAGGCAAGTAAAGGCCGTAACGTCAAGTTTGTTAAGAGCATCCTGGCGCTGCAACCCCTTGACTTTCTTCTCTTGTTAAAGATGACAAAATTTGTTTAAAAGTAGAATTTTGGGATTATGATTATGGCTTAGGTTCCTAAAGAGCTCCAAAGATTTGGGCCGTATCTCCTATCGAACTGCCCATGTTGGTTCGCTTCAAGGTTTGGGGGAGATTCGCCTTGCCTTCTATTCGACAGCAGATCGAGAAACCTTGGCATGGTATTTACCTGCTCGACCACAGGAGTAGTTGTTTACGTGCGCGACTCTAAGAGAGAGGGCGACAAGCTCTGATCCCTGCCACTAAGCTACTGGGGTATAGGCCTTCACCGGTAGAAAGCCAACAAGTCATTTTAGGCAGCTGAATTTGCAGCCGAATCTATCTATCACAGGTTAATCCAACTTTGGCTGAAGAGTCAAATGCAGGCGTCTTTTTCTTCAACTCATAGAAGCTGCCAAGTAAGAAATTTCGGTTAGTAACTTTCGTAGTAGGGCGAACGGAAAAAAATGCTAGTAAAAAAAAAAAAAGAAATTGTAATCGAATCTCTCCCCTACGGAATCTCTCTCTTGGCATCGGCATCCACCCTCTTTGAAATGGTAAAGGGGGGTTTAAGTCTGTCTCTTGAAGGCAGTAACAACAAGTCCCATTATTGCGATATTAACCCAAAAGATAATCAAGTAGAAAAGATGAAGCGCCTTGGTCTATTTATGTCAAGTGTGGGAAAATGGCAAACACGTGATTTATAAACATATAAAAGAGTCAAATTCATTCATCCGCAATCCCTTCTTCAACTCCTGAAAGTCGGAATGGACGCTAAGCCCTAACTGGAAGAAACATTGTACGGAAAGCATCGGTTATTAAGTTTTTGAAAAAACCAATCCCTTGATCTATTGAGAGATCTGTGTCTGTATTTGCCTTCGGGTTGACTCTCAACCTTTCAAGGCTCCTTCCTTGGAGTGGGGAACCAATGACAGCTATATAGGCAGTTCGCCCACCTCTCTTGAATAGGGAGATCGGGCAGCCCACCCCTCTTGGATACGGGGAAGCATATCTCGACCACTGCCCTTTTTGTTTCTTTTGATTAGGTAGAGCTTCTACCCGCTTTAACTTCTTTTTGAGACAATCCCCCTCGGGCTTACCAGTCGGAATGGAATTTACTGCTATATATTTAAGTGATTAAGTGAACCGGTAACCGATCCAATAGGACGGATCTCGAGCTGTAGATGCGGATAGTTGCGATCTTTCCCTTTGTTTATGATTCGATATGTTATGTATGAACCAGACTTTTTTCTTTCCCCCCCTTGTTTACTAGACGTAATACCTCTCTTCGCCGTTATATAGGTATGGAATAGAATGTTTTCCTTTGTTTATTGATTTGATTGAGTGGGCCATCCGCTCTTTACTATAGATAGATTGTCTCTCACCGCGCTTTCGATCTCGTTATGGCTGAATGATGCGTCAGCAGTGAAAGGAACAGGTAGATCTCATACCTTTATATAGAATAAGCTTTTCTTTTCAAGTAGTTTTAGCTTCTCGCCCTATAGTATAGGTAGGGAATGGACTGAAAGCCAACTCTGCTGATGAACATATACGCTACTTCCCGCCCCGGAAGAACCTACTTCCATTCAACTACCTGAACAAAATAGAATAAGAAAGGGGAGAAGCTGTCTTTCATACGATTTAACTAGATTCGTAAAAATAAATATCAGTCGGGGTTTCTACTTTGTGGAGAGGGAAATCTCCTTTCTCAGAATCTCAAGTTGTATGCTTCTTATGAACAATCGCATTGGATAAATCCAAATCCTCACGTTCGCCCTACTACGAAACTTACTAACCCGCAATGCCTTTAATAAACCAGTGATCTTTTTTCATCATGTTGACGTTTCCCCGGGTTTTTAGATGAAACAACTTTTCCACTCGTAACGAGCAAGAAAATTGATCCATTTTGACCCAGGCTTGAAAGTTTTCATTTTGTCATGTCGTCTAGGAAAGAAACCGGGTTGATGACTTTCGCCCAGTGGTGGATGAACTTTTTAAAAAAACACATCATTGCGTGAAAATAGGTTTTATTCATTTGCATATAGGTGGAACGAACCTTTTTTCATTGTTCGGCCGATAAGAAGTTTATGTCGAATCTAGCCCGCGGGGTCTCCGCTTTCCGGCTAAGCAAGGATAAAGGAGTAGCGGATCCCTTTGTCTGTCGCATGATACCGGGGAGGCTTCTTTTTAGCACCGGTAGCTATGGAGTCAGTCGGGGTAGTCACTCCCAAGAGAAGGTAAAGATGGGATCGTTTGTATGCGCCATACCTATAAGAGGGAGAGAAGGTCGAACGCTAATTCCTGATGAAGGGCGGATGAATGAACACAAGACTTTGAAGACCAGACCTCAGGAAAGCGGACGGGAACAACAACGACGTAGTGACGTTGGACTAAATACGAGATTTCGCTTAAGTACATAAGCGGGCCAACGGACGGCACTGGCAAAAATAGTCAGACTAGCCAACCGGGCTCCTTCACAGGCCAACAAGCATACCGGGCCAAAGAGAGAAAGCCGAAAGAATCTTTCGAAGAGGGGCTTGCTAAAGAGGCTCGGAGAGAGGGGCTTGCTAAAGAGGCTCGAGAGAGGCTTGCTAAAGAGGCTCGAAGAGGGGCTTGCTAAAGAGGCTCGAAGAGGGGCTTGCTAAAGAGGCTCGAAGAGGGGCTTGCTAAAGAGGCTCGAAGGGGCGGCGAAGGATACACTAAGGCAGGTTTCAGAGCTCGATAAAGCAGACTAAACTTCTAGGTAAACTAAGCGCCTGTTATCCCGGAAAGTATAATCGCAAGCCAACGGGCGCAACAGTAAGTATGGCAAGCTACTGCTGGGAGAACTGGTTAGTATACCAACAACTGAGGGAGGCAGTCCAGGTGGCATAAAAGATAGGTAATCTAATGAATGCTCGGATGCTATGCCGCTTGATTAAGGTTAGTAAGTTAATTTAAACGACTATTGTATGAGGATTCGATCACAGTCCCTGTGTAAACGCAATCTCATTCTCAACTTCCGGGGCTTAACCCTTCTCATAACTACAGTATTTACCCAATCTTTAAAGCGAAACCTCAAAGTTCCATCTCCTCACGCGACATAGAGCCGACCGCCGGCTCGCTTCCAATCGGGTTAGGAGGTGAGAAGTCAGAAGTCAAAAAAAAAAAAAAAAAAAGGAAAAAAAACTCGATCTCAGGGTCCACCCGAGTGTCAACACTTCTTAGTTTAAGGCGGGACTCCTCTTTTTGAAGCGGAGATTCCACATGCAATGTCGGTGACCTGGGAATAGGCTTAGGCACTGGGTAGACATGAGATCAGACTAGCCAGCAAAGATACCATCCGAAGGCCCGACGACAGACACTCTTTAGATAGAAGGTCGTCAGCTAGACCCAGTATGCTTCGGAGGTACACTAGAAGGCAAAAGTAGCAAGAGCCCCGAGAAAGCGAGAATTTCCGTAGGACTAACGTAAAACTAAGCGCAGTATAACACGGAACCCGTATGAGCTGTAAACTATAAGAGGGCAAGTCCGGCGGCTGAAAAGGTCAACCTAATAGACCAAGTCGCCAGAGTGAGGGACAGCTAGCCAGATCCCACGAAAGGAAGAAAAAGACTCTGTTCCAATATGATCGGGAGTAATTGATCGAATGCCGGTAGAGTTTGATAAGTTGAGCTGATCATTGGCTTGGACCCGATGGAATGAGGCTTCCCCCCATGCGTGGGCGCGAACTCATTCCCAACATTCGTTAGCCGCCAAAGCTGAACGGCCACCGCTACAGGTTTTTCCCGGGTGGTCACTTACTTTGAAGGTAGCTGGCGGGATCTGTTTTACGCCCCCCCCTCCAAAGAAAAAAAAAGTACCCCCCCCCCGGACATCAATGTCTCCCCCCTAATTATGCGGACGACATGACAGTGTTCGCACAACGCCAATACTACTACCGAGTGCATCGCCCAATAGACTATGATACCGATTAAAATGTCACAAAGGTCATAAGCCATCCGAAAAAAAGGGGGGGAAACAAGGCTTTTTGGCAATTGCGGACATCAGTTGCATATACCAAGGAAGCCCAGTGCAGCCATAACGGAGCTTTACCCATTAAGATATAATTTATTATATACCTTTCTAATTCGCACTTCTTCTTGACGCCTATTTCGAGACCATTCGACGCTAAGGAGTTCGATGATGGGAAGACATCACAATCTGCTCAAGCAGAATGCCGTATCCAAACCTGAAAAGTCCACACTGGTATTGTGCGGCTCGAGATGTCTCTGGGACTTTTCCCTTCCTGTCCAAAAAACAGCGGCGAATCACGCCCACGAATGAGGTCAGGGCTGCTGAATGAAATGATGAAGAAGCTTGAGAAAACCTTGGCATCAGGGCTAGGCTGACGATGTCTGTCTGGCGTACCTAATCTTTGTATAGGGACGCGTGCTAACTTTTAGCAAATGCTATAAAATTTCTCTCTTCATAGAAGCCACACCTCTAATCCAACTAATACAAGAGAACCTTAACCTAAGTTCCAGTAACCTTGAGGGCAGGCTTCTATAATTAAGATAATTTTTCGATTGCTAGTCTTCATCTCATATGCTCTGAGATGCCGCACGAACCAGTGGTTTCCACCCGCGCAAGGGGAGTTTTGTTGGAGATAGGAAATGGCCCAGAGATCCGAACTTGACGTCCCAAGGAGTCTCTGTTCATCTTCGTTCAAGCCTGACTGCATTTGACCAGTGGAGACAGCTTTGGGACCAGCAATACCTTGCCAGTCTCTGTCCTGGAGGAGATGTAAGCTTTTACGTAAGTCGGGCCCTGGGATGTAGCAAACTATTTTCCCATTCTTCATCTTTCATCAAATAATCAACTCAATAGGCTAGACAGAGTTCATCCTTCGACTCGTGGGAGTTCTCTGTTTAATTATTTTCCGAATAATCGACTCCTTACTGTTCGTCAAATCAGTGTCACGCGGGGGGGAAAAACATTACAGGCTTTTTGTGTCAAACGCTACGCCGCATATTGAACCAACATTCCATATCCGGAACGCTTTTTGCAAATGACATCCATATGTTATACTTTGCAGGATTGTTTAAGTGCCCTCATGGGTTACACAAAAGCACACTCATTGTATACTTGGTCGCTAAAGTTCGCTACCCTCCTATTTTTTCCTAGGGGTAGCTGAAAAGATCCGGCGGAAGTCATCACGTACCTCACGGATTGGACGGACCAATACTCAGCGTCACGAACACACAGCTATCTATAATAAAAAACCCCTAACTGAGGTCGTTCAAAGCCTCGCATGATAAAAAACCCTCCTATCTTACTTACCAACCCTGACTTTAACTCTTGATTAATTGTGCCAAGAGATATTCTCAATAAGTAACGGGAGGTGGATCCACAACTAAAGAAGGGTTATACAAATCTTGCTTCAATCGGTTTCTTTATCTTGTCAAAATTTGACAGATTCGTTCCGCGGCGGTGTCCGTCCATACTGTAAAGATGGGCGTGGGAGAGGTGAATTCGACGAAAGACACTTTCCGGGCGATCATCTTCTGAGCTCTGATCTACGACACACCCTCACACTGCTATCGATCCGGCGGACAGATGCCGTTCTGCTGATCCAAGCTTCTTCCGGACCAGAACAACACGGAATGAATCTTTATCTGGGAAGGCATGATTGGGAGCTGGCTCGAAATCCGATAAATCCCAATATCTCCGGGCCTCAGTTAGAAGGTTATCGGCCCCGCCTGCTTTTCGGTCTTGCGCATTCAAGCGTTGAATAAGGCCTAAGAAGGGCTTTCCCGAGGCTGGGCGTAGATGTATCTATTCGGGGTCGAAACCCTCATTATTGATCATCTTGGGAGGATCGAGTGGAATTTACGGAACCATGGACCATACCATCGCTCCGGGGGTCTTGTTACCATCACCGATCAGTTCGGACGGGCATGGCGCACGAAGCCCTCAGAGAAACCATTCCCTTATCCGTCGCGAAATCAATCTGTTGTGTTATCATCCCCGGTGGAATCTCGAATCGTTAAAAAGCTATGCCGGCGAATCAATAAAAGGCTTGCGCGCTTCTTTGCAGTGCTGTTCTCTACTGCATCTTATCTAGGACCGATGCTTCGTCTCGCTTCGGCGGTCTAGGAACCTATTTATCTTTTTAAGTATCAACCGATGGAAGTAAGCAAGCTACCTGTGCTTCAGATAGGGACAGAGCTCGAAACTCCCTGAGGTAAAGACAGAATGAAACAGTTGGTCGGGTAAGGATTCCGTTGAAGCGGCGCGCATTGAGCCTTTTTCTTCTTTCTTTCCGTCTTTAAAACCCAACTGCGAAATGCCTTTCTAATTAAGTTGCAAAAGCACTAGAAACCATCTGGAGCTATGTATATTAATGTAGGTACGCTTAGCGCTTGGTAGGTCAGGAGCAGAGCTTGTAGTATAGTAGTTCCAAATCCAACTTCTAGGGCATAGGTTTTCCTAACCAAACTAACAACTCTAGTTTATACTGAGGCTAGCCAAACCCGACAATCTACGACTCTACGAGCCTTGGGCTACTTTCCAATTGATTTAGGAACTATTGACATACATATTAGATCGGCTTTCTCAAATGATTTAGCGCTTAGCTACTATATATAAATAAGTAGCTTCAACCTGCTCTTACAAGACGAATCGAATCTCTTTCTCTTTCTATACTATCTTTACTACGCTATTCAAAGCATCGAGAAAGATGATGCACGAGCCACTCTTTCTCTTATATACGCTATTTGAAGTTCGCTTGTGCTGCTTCCCGAGTTAAAGAAAAATCTTCTGATCTACGACCACCCTCGGCATCAAATCAAACAGACGATTTGATGTAAGCAGACGATTCTATGCTGTCCGCTTCGCCCCGCGGTATTGGCAATGTATTCAGTTCTTTTGTACCGATGTGAACCTCAACAGGAGACTCTCTTTTTTTTCCCCCTGACATCACAAGGCAAGGGTAGACTTCTTCTCCCTCCTTCTACGATTCCGAACTCTGAAACCGAGTGAAAGAACCCGGTTTAAAAGGAGTCCTCTAGCCCCTTAAGATCTATAACTCAATAGAATTCTCCAGCCGTCAATCACCCGTTTTGGTAAAGGAATGTTACCTTTTGCCTAGCTTAACGAAAAAAAAAAAATAGATATACGAGTCACGCAAGTGTTCGGGGGCCCTCGCTCTCGGGAAATCGACTAAGAGATACAGTCTTGGCTCAGTCAATCAATCACTACTATAAAAAAAAATCCATGATACCATAAAGAAAAGTTACACAACAGAAGGTGCTGCGGGATAAGGAGAATAAGTGCTGGATACAGTACCAGTGCCATAAAGAAATGTCACGAAAGCCGAGAGCCATCACGCCCGAACCAGCAATCCCTTCTTATACTGCTTGCAACTCCGAGGTTTCTGATTGACTTAACTTTTTCCAGGAATAGCCAATCCCAGGGAACCGAGCCCTCCCGAACCGCATAAAAGGAAATGATTTGTGAACCAGTTCCAGATAAAGATAAGAGATCTTGAATAGAAGAAGTGCGTCAATCCCTCTGCATCGTAATCAACAAAATAGGCATACGAATCTGCGTAAATCAAGGATCTGAATCCACTGAGGCATCCAAATCCGTATCCCTATTCCTTCCTCAGAAACGGAATCTAGGGGCCCGAGGGGGTCGTCTTCTAGTGAGGGGAGTCTTTTCAGCTTCAATCGACTGGAAGCCACGACGGAATCTTGTCGACCAAGATGATAACAGGGGTATTGGAGACCTTTTCATGAAGCCCGCGAGTCGCCCTTAGTAGTAATCCAAGCCAGCAGGTGAAAGAAAACGAGCACTTGGGTTTGGAGTCAGATTCATAAGTAGATAAGTTGTTCCGCATCCGTCCACTATTGTAACATGTACCCCTCTCCGTATTTGGCGTCAGGAAAAGTTAGTATTTTTGAATCTGACGGCAGTACTAGGTAATTAAATAAAACTTCAGGTAGGGTTTTTTTTTTTTTTTTTTTTTTTTTTTTTTTTTTTTTTTTTTTTTTTTTTTTTTTTTTTTTTTTTTTTTTTTTTTTTTTTTTTTTTTTTTTTTTTTTTTTTTTTTTTTTTTTTTTTTTTTTTTTTTTTTTTTTTTTTTTTTTTTTTTTTTTTTTTTTTTTTTTTTTTTTTTTTTTTTTTTTTTTTTTTTTTTTTTTTTTTTTTTTTTTTTTTTTTTTTTTTTTTTTTTTTTTTTTTTTTTTTTTTTTTTTTTTTTTTTTTTTTTTTTTTTTTTTTTTTTTTTTTTTTTTTTTTTTTTTTTTTTTTTTTTTTTTTTTTTTTTTTTTTTTTTTTTTTTTTTTTTTTTTTTTTTTTTTTTTTTTTTTTTTTTTTTTTTTTTTTTCAAGGGGGGCTTCAGTGCAGCGCTTGTAACAACAACGACTGGTGTTTTTGTTATTCCAGGCTGGCCTAGTGAAGAAAAGATCAATCCTGCCTTCTGGACTTGTTGCAATCGATGCAAATGGCACCGTGAGAGTGTTTTTTGGTTCAAGGTGATGCGTGTCTATGTTGTGCCAGGGAATCCATACCCTTATAATTAGTTGGAGTATGTTTCTACGGTTTTTATGCGTGTCTATGTTCTACACATGTTGTTTTCTATTTCATGTTTTAATCTATTTTGTCTGGTGTTTGTGCTGTCCTAGCCCGTTTTATATATAAATGTATAATATTTGCTATATAGTGGAATTATTACTGACATAATTGACGGCTAAGAATGACATTTTACTGACACAGATATTTTGCACAACTGCAATCTTAATATTTGGTAAACGAAAACGCATGCATGAAGTGAGTATGTGTCTTTTCACCGGTTCTTGGGAATGACATTTTCCCACTTAGCATATCCCAAATGATTGGGTTACACGTTTCTTAAGCAAAACTTGAACAGTTAAAGACTTTGAATAATTATTTCCTGATGTTGTAGAATGGATGGCTTGTATATTTCCATTTTATGTTTGAAAACATCCCTTACACCTAAAAAAGAAAAAACATTAACAAATTGAAGAAGAGAGAAACTGATTAGCACCAGAAATGGTCTATTCACACGGAAAATAAAAATAAAATTACAAATTTGGAGTAAATATAATTAACAAATGTACAAGCTAACAAGTAATATAACAATAATAATAAAAATAATTTTGGATAAATAATAATAAAATACTAATGTAGCGTAACCATGAAACAGGGAATTGAGGAGGAAGATGAAGTGTGAATGAGGTTGTAGCAATTTTCGGAACATTATTGTGATTTTTGTGTATTTAGTTATGAATTTTCTAAGAAAAAGTCATAAAATAATAATTTAGGGTAAAAGGTAAGGATGTGGCCATGTTGACTGATGCACACTTGTCAAGGGGTGAAAGGTGAGGGGCTGAGATCGCGCCAGGTGTCCATGTGGCAATTATTTTGGCTTTTTTTGTGCAAAAATCTTTGAAAAAATGCAATAAATAGTAGAAAAATCCTAAAAATGCCCCGAAAAATACTCCGGCCTCCGTGTGACGTTATAAAACGAGGGGAACCCATAGATCATCCATTTCGCAATTAAAAATTCAAAAATGATTTACATAACTCACTTTCCTCTTAACCCTAAGTATATATGTTGTTCACTTTAACTTCAATAACCTACTTCAACAAGCATCTCCCGTTAATGTTCGGAATTGTTTTTTAAAATGCGTAACCACTAATCGGGGAATTCAGCAAGGGAGATGGAGTGTCAATGAGGTCGTAGCAATTTTCGGATCATTTTTCTGATTTTTGTGTATTTAGTTATGAATTTTCTAAGAAAAAGTCATAAAATAATAATTTAGGGTAAAAGGTAAGGATGTGGCCATGTTGACTGACGCACACTTGTCAAGGGGTGAAAGGTGAGGGGCTGAGATCGCGCCAGGTGTCCATGTGGCAATTATTTTGGCTTTTTTAGTGCAAAAATCTTTGAAAAAATGCAATAAATAGTAGAAAAATCCTAAAAATGCCCCGAAAAATACTCCGGCCTCCGTGTGACGTTATAAAACGAGGGGAACCCATAGATCATCCATTTCGCAATTAAAAATTCAAAAATGATTTACATAACTCACTTTCCTCTTAACCCTAAGTATATATGTTGTTCACTTTAACTTCAATAACCTACTTCAACAAGCATCTCCCGTTAATGTTCGGAATTGTTTTTTAAAATGCGTAACCACTAATCGGGGAATTCAGCAAGGGAGATGGAGTGTCAATGAGGTCGTAGCAATTTTCGGATCATTTTTCTGATTTTTGTGTATTTAGTTATGAATTTTCTAAGAAAAAGTCATAAAATAATAATTTAGGGTAAAAGGTAAGGATGTGGCCATGTTGACTGACGCACACCTGTCAAGGGGTGAAAGGTGAGGGGCTGAGATCGCGCCAGGTGTCCATTTGGCAATTATTTTGGCTTTTTTAGTGCAAAAATCTTTGAAAAAATGCAATACATAGTAGAAAAATCCTAAAAATGCCCCGAAAAATACTCCGGCCTCCGTGTGACGTTATAAAACGAGGGGAACCCATAGATCATCCATTTCGCAATTAAAAATTCAAAAATGATTTACATAACTCACTTTCCTCTTAACCCTAAGTATATATGTTGTTCACTTTAACAAGTATATTTCCTTAATATTCGTTATATAATTTGTACTAATACAAGAATTAGTTTCCTTTCATATATAAGGATGTAAAATTATCTGTTTTGGTTATAATAATGTACATATATAATAAATGCACCACTACTTGGAAGCCATAATTGGAACTGCGCATGCGCCTAGAGCTTTGAAGACGTCAGATATAGTCAATAAGTTGTCCATATGCACCTGCACCTAGAGTTTTCAACACGTCGGCGGTATTCAATAAGTTGTCCTTATGACGCCGCATTGGGAATCAGTAATATATTTTCTATCATGTCCAATCGCATAAACATATAATATAAAGAAATAAAGCAATAGTAGGAGATGAACCAGTACAAAAAACAATATATAACTGGTACAAAATAATGCCATAACCTTGTCACAAAACCAGTCACACATGCTTTTCCATAAACCTTACCCTAACATATAATACATAAAGGCAACATTGCATATGATGCAACCATGTCCAAATCTGAT